GAAGTGCTCCTCAGTTGTCTAATTAAGAATCATATTCACCAACTATCAATACTGTGAATTAAGTATTGCCACTGTAAAACTGAACTCTGAGGATCAGCAACCTTGCTGTAGCATAGGTACAGAGCCACCTTAATTTTTTAATCATTCAAGGTAGCTTTGAACTTTAAAAGTGCAATTGAACTTTTTGTAAAGCTTTGCAGATAAATAATCTTGAAATGCTCATCTAAATGCAGCAATAATATATGAATATATATGGGTTATTAAATTAATTTTTTGTGTTTCAAGTATGTAAAGGAAAATGTGGGATGATTCTAAAAGATCTAGAGTTTATTCATATGCAACCTATTATTTCCAAACAAAATTTTGCTTAAAAATAGCATTTGCTCAATACTATTCTCAAGAAATAACAGCAAAAGTATATATCGCGGTCTAGGACCGTATAATGACTCCTTACAGCAATACTGTTAAATCAATCATTGAGGTCATGAGCATAAATAAACTGATCACCAACCTAAGAAACCTTGATTGTTAAGCAAATTCTCCTGTTCAGTACCAAAGGAAATGTACAGAGAAAGGTATGTAGAAGAAGGATACTGATGTCAGGGTGTAAAGCCTTGACAATAAATCTACGGATACTGTACTTACAACTTTTGAATTTCTACCGGAAATGAAGGTTCCCTGATGTTGCTCAAACTCAATGATGTGGTGTTGTAACTTGCAATGTAATTTCTAAGAAAGCTACGGTTTTCATTTCTTTCCAAATCTCTTTGAGACCACTGAGAGTCTATGCTTATTTCAACTGTGTTGGAATTTGAGTCTTGTTCAAATAGCGATACTCTTGCTTTAGACACAGAGGCAGCTTTGGCATATTCTCTGTAAACTTCAACAGCTTTGTCAAGGAACTGATCCTGTGAATAAATAAAACCCCAAATTACGTTGATATAGTCGGAAGAAATTCTGTCTTCTTAACTCACGGGAGTGAGGGGACAGTCATGAGTAAAGAGAGTAGACTGAAAGTGTACGACTGCGGTGCATGATTTCTAAGGATAGTCATGTCAAGTTAGCATGCTTTGTGTTGCTTGTCATCAGTGAAGAAGCAAAAACAGTTTGTTTTTCATTAAATGCATAATAAAACAATTTGTAGATTTGGTTTTTGTGGTAGCCTCAGCCTTCCACTTCAGCTGATATTCTAGATGTCACAAAAACCTCATCCAATAATTGTTAAGAATTTAACAGGTTTATTTAATTGCAATCAGGAAAAAATTTGTATCTTTCTTTTGGAAAGTGTTTTGCCAAACTTAGTGGCATCTTCTGTGCTGGTCAGAATTGAATTTTCTTCTGTTATCTGTACCCCTATCTCTGTAACAATGATGAAACACTAGGAAGCCATTTCAATATTTCACAACTCTGCGATAATTACCTTGTGCTAGGTGATTATAGTGAGATATAACGCAATTAATCCTCAACCAATCAAAGAATGCCCTTCTCTATAATCATCAGGGTAAGTTTACATATAATGATCAAGTGGGAGAGTAAACCTTAAAACTTCAACCCTGTGATCTCCTAGTAATTCTCCTTACTGATGTACATGCAATTCTAATGAAGTTATTTCAGAGAATTTGGAATGGGATCAAATAATCCCCAAATTGACATTTTTATTTATTCTCATCAAGGAGAAATTACGCCTGGGAGTTACAGGGTTACGAGCTGAAAAATTTAAATGGATTGCTTACAGGTGGCCTGAAACTAGATGCATGAGATTACGACGTTCATAACACTAGAAGGTACAAATTTAGTTAACAATAACTCTTTAATGGGAGAAATGAGGCTCTCAAAATAGATCGATATCTTCCAAAAGGAATTAAAGTTGACAAGCAGCTTCATCACGTAAATAAGGCATAAAAGCAAAAAAATCTTTCGTTCCAAAAAGCACGACAAAAAGATCATAACTGGCTCTCAATAAATTAACACGCTACCTTGATATAGTGGGTGAGTAAATAATTTCGCGTTTCCATGAGCGGAATCACACCGTCGACCGAATGAGAATTCGAATTAAGAAGAGAAAATTTCATAAATCTGAGAATAAACTGAGAGAAGCTTTTGAAGGACATTCGAAGAAAAAAACACCGGTCTTTGGGTACAGCCCTCTTACCGCGCAAGCAACTACAAAGTCTTTCAAATAAATACTACGATCTACCTTTCAAACGCGTTTGTTTTTAACCCTTTTTCAGATTTTTGTCATCAAAATAAGGTTATTTTCTTAATTTCAATTGCCTTATTCACGCTAAAATCTGAAAAAAAATCAAGGATTACCTCAGCAAGTCCTAATCCTGCCGCCATTTTGCGATTTTGGTTTTCCGCGCGACTTACGTGACAGTCTCGTGACAGCCGAGATGGAAGGCATATGATTGTGATACCCGTGACATGTTTGTGACAAACTGAAATAATCAGATTATCCCTCGATCAGAGTTTTTAAATTGTTTTTCTTTTCTTTAAAAAGAACGACAGTGGCCAACAAATTTTAAGCTGTCGCTCTGAAAACGAAAACGTAATTAGTGCGCTTTCGATGATGTCACGCAATATCAACAATTTTTCACATGAGCCGATCCTAGAACGAAATACGAGTCTCATATTTTTCCCTTGCAACAAATAATAGTAAATTCAACGCGGAAGAAAAAAAAAAAGGGGGGTTCAGAGCACGGGAGGAACGGATGCGGAAGAGTTGAAACACTAAACTCGCGCATTCTAAGGGTACTGGGAATGAAAAGAGAGGGTGTTTGGAGTGCGGGCTCACGTAGCTGGCATTCATCGAAGGATACGCCATTTTGGAACATCACAAATCTTCCAGGATAACTTCAGGTATAAAATCGCAGCCATGGCGGGCGGCCTTCCGCGAAGAATAATAAAAGTGAGTTTTTACGGCACTCTCTCCCTTCTAGATAACAGATACGATGAACGTTGATGCTTTTTTGCTAAGATTTTGTTAATTGTAGTCTGTTGCTCCGGCTATGAAATCCCAAAAATCTGAGAAAGCCGCTTTTCGTTTCTCTGTAGGAAACGCAACGATTAATGTCAGAGCCAGTACCGGGAATAACAGCTCTTCCGTCTGAAGATAACGCTAGATACTTTAATGTCGTCATAGAAGGTCCCGCCGAGGTAACTGACACTAACTAGATCTGTTCTCTATGAGTTTGATTTCTAAGAAGTCGTGGCTTTTTTAAATTCAAATTTTCTGTGTCCTAATGGTTATCATCTGTTATTACCGATTCCAGACCCCGTTTGAAGGAGGGAAATTTAGGCTAGAGCTCTTTCTGCCTGAAGAGTACCCAATGGCTGCACCCAAAGTTCGATTTATGACGAAAATTTATCATCCCAATGTGGATAAACTCGGACGAATCTGCTTGGATATTCTTAAAGGTACGGCACCGATTAAAATTTAATGTACATTCACGTTTCATATTTCCGAAAGACGCTGGTTCAATGAATTTATCTGTATTTCTGTTCGGTAGGGCTTCTGATGTTTGAATGACCATCTGTAAATCCTAATGACTGAAATACTTTACAAATGAGATTAGAGTTGATCTTTTTTTTTTTTTTTTTTATAATTATCTTTAAAATTTGGTTTCTTATAGCTTCAGTCTTATATTTCCATTTCCCTATGAAGTTGTTATTGTTTGATTTCAAAAAAAACATTTAACTTGCTAATTAATGATACAAAAATAAATAAAACAATAAAGGATGAACCCTTTTAACTGTTAAGATCTGACTGTTAATTCTTTCCTCTAGCTGCTATATATTTTCCTTTCAATTTGTTTTGAGAATTTGGTGTTAGATCAGGATAACTTAAACCTGATTAAATTGAGTATTCTCATTACCATTTTGCTGGACAATGTATGGATATGATTGGGAGAAGTTACATTACAATCTTTTCTTGGAGTTAGTTTAGGTAATAACTTGATTTCAAGTGCAATTTGTTTTTAATAAGCACTAGTAAATTTTTCTAAGACAACAAAATTTCTCAAGTTGGTAGGGCAAGTGCAATTTGTAGTCTCTGAAAAATTTCAAGTGCTCATTACACCAAATTGAAAGAGAAATTAGGCTATTACTTGTTAATAATAGGTATGAAAAAACATCACAGAAAGTCAAGACAGAGGAAATTTTCAAAGCACCCTCATGCTATTTGTAATTTGCATTTGTGTTGCAACTTTGCACTTGTGTTACATGAAAATGCACTCATTGTCTGTCAATTAGAAGCATGTAATTAGCTTTCTCTTGAACAGTTGCTTGATTTTTTTTAAATAGACAAATGGAGCCCAGCTCTTCAGATTCGCACAGTCTTGTTGTCCATCCAAGCCCTTCTTAGTGCCCCAAACCCTGATGATCCTTTGGCTAATGATGTTGCAGAGAAGTGGAAATTAAATGAAAGTGAAGCTCTCGTCACTGGTAAGTTAATAAGTAATGTCATTTGTGTCAGATTTATTATCTGACATTGATCGGCATAGTGTTCCAAATGACCCAATTAGTCTTGCACAGTTTAGCCCTCTGATGTAATTCCAAGTTAAGAGAATTTGGTGTTAGATCAAGATAACCTTAACCTGATAAGCTTGAATCTTCTCATTGCCTGTTTGTTGGATAATGTATAGTTATTATTGGGAGAAGTTACGTGTTAATCACTCCTGGGAGTTAAAGGCAAACAATTTTTAGTGTATTCTCTACGAGTGACCACAACCTCTTTGTACACTGTTAAATTTTTCACTCCCAGCAGAGACCAATTTGAATAATTTATCTTACAATATAAATACCTTGTCAAGCAGAAAGACCAAAAAGAGAAGGCAAAAGATGAATTTTATGATATGCATGCAGCTTTAAAGAACAGCCAATTCTGAGCACCACAATTATA